AGGGAAGTTTTTATTGTATTTATGGATTTAAAAAAGGCATATGATAGTGGATAGGGGAGCACTGTGGCAGATGTTGCAAGTGTATGGAATAGGTAGTAAGTTACTACATGCTGTAAAGAGTTTTTATGAGGATAGTGAGGCTCACGTTAGGGTATGTAGGAGAGAGGGAGATTGCTTACCAGTAAAAGTAGGTCTTCGACAGGGATGTGTAATCTCACCATGGTGGTTTAATATATTTATAGATGGGGTTGTAAAAGAAGTAAATGCTAGGGTGTTAGAGAAAGGGTTGGGATTAAATTATGGGGACTCTAATACAAAATGGGAGTTGACACATTTACTCTTTGCTGATGATGCTCTGCTTATGGGAAGTTCTAAAGAAAAGTTGCAAAGGTTAGTGGACGAGTTTGGGATGGTGTATAAAGGTAGAAAGTTGCAAGGGAACATATATAAGAGTAAGGTGATGAGGGTATCAAACAATTTGAATGAAGAAAAATTGGATGTCACATTGGAGAGAGGGAGTTTGGAAGAAGTGAATGTTTTCAAATATTTGGGAGTTGACTTGTCAGCAGATGGGTTTATGAAGGATGAGGTTAACTGTAGAATTGATGAAAGGAAAAAGGTGAATGGTGCGTTGAGGTATCTGTGGAGACAAAAAACGTTATCTATGTAGGCAAAGAAAGGAATGTATGAAAGTATAGTGGTACCAACATGCTTATATGGGTGTGAAGCTTGGGTTGTAAATGCTGCAGGGAGGAGGTTCCAGGAGGCAGTGGAGATGTCCTGTCTAAGGACAGTGTGTGGTGTAAATATTATTCAGAGAATTAGGAGTGTGGAGATTAGGAGGTCTGGAGTTATTAAAATTAGAGGGCTGAAGAGGGGTTGTTGAGGTGGTTTGGTCATTTAGAGAAAATGTATCAAAGTAGAATGACTTGGAGAGTATACAAATCTGTAGGGAAGGAAGGAGGGATAGGGGTCGTCCTCAAAAAGGTTGGAGGGAGGGGGTAGAGGAGGTTTTGTGGGCGAGGGGCGTAGACTTCCAAATAGTGTCTGTGAGCGTGTTAGATGGGAGTGAATGGAGACAAATGGTTTTTGGGACCTTACAAGCTGTTGGAGCTTGAGCAGGGTAATATTTAGTGAAGGGATTTAGGGAAACCGGTTAGCCAGACTTGAGTCCTGGAAATGGGAAGTACAATGACTGCACTTTAAAGAAGGGGTTTAGGATATTGACAGTTTAGAGGGATTTCTAAACTGTTGTATCTGAGAACCTCTGCAAAGACAGTGATTGTGTGAGTGAGGTAAAAGTGTTGAATGATGTTGAAAATATTTTCTTTTTGGGGATTTTTTCTTTTTGAGTCACCTTGCCTCGGTGGGAGACTGCCCTCTTGTTGAAAAAAAAAAAATAAAGAAAAACAAGCTCTTAAGTTATTTGTCCAGACACTGATATTACTTAGGGAATTTTTTTTATTAAATGGCTCTTTCACTAAAGCAGAGTGATTCAGAGATGAAAACACATCCACTAACATTCAAATATCTTCCTTTCTTTTTTCCATCTTATCCCTCTCCTTTTCTCTTTCTCTTTCCCTAATTCATGCTTTTTCCCACTTTTCTACTGCTTCTCTTCTTCCTGTGCTTCACCTCTTCATTGGATTGCCTTGTCCCTGGAGTTTAGCCCTAGCATGTGTAAAGTTATGAAGCTTGGGGTAGGACAAAGAAGACCACATAGTACAGACTAGGGAGTCAATGGCTGCAAACCTCACTCAAGGAAAATGTTCTTGTTGTGAGCAACATACTGAGCATATCTTGAGGCACACATCAAACAAATAACTGTCACAGCATATAGGTGCCTGGCAAACTCGAGAATAGTGTTTAATCATCTAATTATGGAGTCATTCATGGCACTGTACACTGTGTATGTCAGACCCAGTTTGGAGTATGCAGCACCAGTATGGAACCCACACCTGGTCAGATGTGTGAAGGAATTGGAGTAGGTGCAAAAGTTTGCACCTTCTCCAAGTCTCAGAGCTGAGGGGTATGTCCTATGAGGAGAGGTTAAGGGAACTCAAGCTGACGACACTGGAGAGATGGGGGGGGGGGGTTGCATGATAATGACGTATAAAATACCGAGAGTAATTGACAAGGTGAACAGGGCCAGAATCTTTCAGAGATGGGATACAAGAGCAAGGGGACACAACTGGAAGCTAAAAACTCATGAGAATCATAGGATTGTTATGAAGCATTCCTCAGCCTTCATTTGTCAGGAAGTGGAACAAACCGGAGACTGAAGTAGTGGTGGCAGGATCCATACATGGTTTTAAGATGAGGTACCATAAGTGGACCTAGTAGATACTCGTGAAGTCAGGTCCAGGAGCTATGACTCGACCCAACAACCACAAGTAGGCGAGTACATGCACATGCACGGGGCTAGGAAAGTGAATTTGAGAGGCAGGGCCAGGAGGTAAAACTTAACCACTGCAACCACACATGAGTGCATGCCCATACACATGCACAGGAAGGGGGGCAGCACTGTTTGTGGTTTGTGTGCATAATATTCCAGACAAGACTGAATCAGATGTATTCCTGTTTCCTAACGTAAAATTGATGAGAAGAATAAAAGCAGACTAGGACAGGGAAATGCAGCTAGCTGAACTGGACCCACTTGAAGATTGGTCTAATAAGTGGTTGCTTGAATTCAGCCTCAGCAAATGCAAGGTCATGAAGATCAGCATAGGGATCAGACGACATGACACAGTGCACAATTTCTGGGACTGAGGTTGTGGATCTCTTTCGGAGAAAGACCTTTTCCTAGGGGTAAGCATTGCTCCTAGCATTTCACCGGAGGCTCGCAATTGAAGAATCTCCACTGCAAGTGCTCACCTGGTAATCTAAGAGCGGTCTTCATGAATCTCAACAAAGTTTTTTTGGGCACTGTGTACCATGTGTGTCAGACCCATCATTGGGTACACAGCAACAGTGGGAAACTCGCACCTGAGAATGTGTGTGAAGACACTGGAGAAACTTCAGAAATATGCAAAAAAGTTTGTTCCTAAGTTAAGCGGTATGAGCTATGAGGAGAGGCTGATGGAATTCAATCTGACGACATTGGAACATAGAAGATTCAAGGGAGATGATGTTATGACACAAAATACTAATGGGAATTGTTAGGGTAGACTGGGACAGGTTGTTTGATATGTGAGATTGGAAATTAGGGGACATGGCTGGAGGTTAAACTCAGATGAGCCTCGGGGATGTCAGGAAGTATTCAGTCTTGGTGATCAGAAACAGAATGATCTTGAAGTGGTGGAGGCAGGCACCATACATAGTTTTAAGAACAGGTATGATAAGGCCCATGACAATAGGAGGGAGGGAATCTGGCTAGTGACAGGTTGAGAAGTGGGGCCAGGAGTTGGACTCAACCCTGCAGCCACATACAAGTACGTATAGGCTAGTACACATACTTGCTCACATTCATAGTGTATTTAACCCTTTGGGGGTTTCGGACGTACTAGTACGTCTTACGACCCAGGATTTTTGACGTACTAGTACGCCTAAATTCTAGCGCCCTCAAATCTAGTGAGAGAAAGCTGGTAGGCCTACATATGAAAGAATGGGTCTATGTGGTCAGTGTTCGCAGTATAAAAAAAATCCTGCTGTGCACAGTGCGTAATGAGAAAAAAACTTTGACCTTGTTTTTGGATTAAAACAGTGACTTTGCACTGTATTTTCATATGGTATTTATGGTTGTATTCTAGTTTTCTTGGTCTCATTTTATAGAATGGAAGACATATTACAGAAATTGAGATTCTTTTGACTGGTTTTACAATGAAAAGTACCTTGAAATTGAGCTCAAATTAGCAGAAATGTTCGATTTTTACCAAAGTTCAAAAAGTAAACAAATCATGCCAAGCGTCCAATACACATCAACTGGTGAGTCTAATATTCTTTCACAAGAGTGCTGATATTATTTATACCATTTCTACACTAATGCAGTAGTCTGCATAACAGTAAATCTTATCTTTTTTTTTTTTTTTTTTTTTTTTTGTAAGAAAAATTCAAAGTGGAAAGCCAAAGAAATATAAGAGGGGCCTGGGGATGTGACTAACGAACAGAGAACTTGTTATTTTAGTGCCAGAAATGTCTTTCTTGTTTATTCTGGACCCTATTCGGAAATTGGTATCTTTTGAAATTTGTGTGAAATTGGCAAAATTGCTAAATTCTGACCACTTTATTGGATAGTTGAAATCGGTAAATGGGTGGTTTCTTGTACGCATTAAATAGAAAAAAATGGAGTTCTAGCAAAATAGTTATGACTTTTGTTGACTAGCACACTGGAATTGGCCGAAAATAGGGCTCAAAGTGGGCAAAATTGCCGATGCGTAAACATTGTCGAGACCACTAACTTTGCGAGAGCATAATTCCGTAAGTTTTCCATCAAATTTCGTACTTTTGGTGGCATTATGATCGGGAAAAGATTCTCCATCTTTTCCTGAGAGAATTTTTTAAATTTGGCCGACCCTGAGAACAAGTCTCTGAGAGGACCTGTCGACCCCCAAAGGGTTAACTTCGTTGGCCATCTTCTGCCAAGGCAGGGTGATCCAAGAAGAAAACACTCATTAACATTCAGACAGTTGCCATCTTTCCAAAAGTGTAGACTTCACAATAAGATTTCCTCTCCAACTGTAAAATCCCTCCTCCTTCAGAATGCAGGGGCTGCTCTTCTCACCTTTAGGACTTGTGTACTGTTAACCAGTTTCCTTGTTACACATAAATACACCAATCATGTCTAGTTTAAGAGTTAAATATTCACTATGGCTTATACTGTACTTGAAAAAAATCACAAGTTTTTAGCTGCTGTGAAAGAAGAATTGAGTAAATTTAGATACCAGTGTTGAGATGTTAATTTAAAGGTCCTTACCAAAAGTTAGCATACAAATTTGTTTCTTAGGTATCCTGAAATGAGGTCACTGAGAAAAATTGTGCAAGTCTTTAATTTTTTTTTACAGGTCTGAATGAGTATCTGGAATATGTTGTTAGTCTAGCATTTGATGAGAAGCCAGATTATGAAAAATGCCGTAACATTCTGCGGGAGGGACTCAAAGCACGAGGATACAGAGATGATGGAAAATTGGTGTTCATGTCCGCAACTCCTGTGCTTCCTTCGAAGAAGTCCAAGGCTCGTACTGACCGAAAGGTAAGCAAGCGAAAAAGTGAAGAGAGTGATACAGTCAGTAATGAAGAGTCCGAAGAGATAGAGGAACCACTAAGGAATAGGAAAGTTGCTAAGAAGAGGGCCAAAATTTCTATTGGAAACTTGGAGAAAAAGGAAGGATCTCCAGTTGAGAAGGAAAACAAAGCTAAGGCAAACCTTAAGGCTAGGGGACGTGGTAAAAGGAAAGATAAAATAGCAGTTGGTGCTGCTATCTCTGTGCCATATTCTGGAATTGTTAATCCAACTCCTCAAATGCTTGCCCTAATGAAAAAAAATGTGGTAATTTAATATGAAATTATTGGGTATTAGCACAATCCTGTAATTTTGTTTTACCTTATTAAAACTTTATTGTATTGTGCTTTATTAATGTGAACGTGTTTCATGTCACTTGTGCTTATTGATATCTTTGTCTGCATTTAATTTGTCATGGCAGTGTGTCTTACTTTTGTACTATGAAAGGTAACACCCTCTCTCAGTACTTGTGTACTGTAACAAAAAATAAAGTTTTAAAAATATATACACTTTTTTTAAATTCCTGATGTCTGTAGTAAAGATTTTCATGGGTGTTAGCAAATTTGCTGGTTTTATTTCTCATTATGGGCTGTAAAAGCTAAAAAAAAAAATTAGTTTTTGTTTGCATGAGTTCAATAATTGCTAACCCCATGAAAATTTTTACATTCTAGAAAACTGCAAAGAGACGGTCAGAAGAAGAAGAAAATATAGCTGAATTCACTCCGAAGAAGTTGAAAAGAAATTCCAACATGTCTCCATGTAGACCCAGAAATAAAAGGTATTTAAATGTTACTGTTAGTTTTGTTAGCCGATGCAATCAAAAGTAAATTTTTGTGATTTAAAAAGGCAACTGAGCAAATGTGTGTAAATTTTTGTATCAGTAGCTTTGTGTAGCTGCAGTTTTTAAGATAATATACTTATGTGCACTTCTTGAAAGATGGCTAGGGAGCATGTGATGTGTAATGTGGTTTCTTTGGTCACCCTATCATGGTGGGAAAAGGTTAAAGAGGTTCAAAAGAATTTATCATGTTTAAGCTGAATTATCAGCAACCAAAATTTAACTAATGCTGAACATATTTGGCATGCATTGTTTTACCAAAGAGATATAATATAAATGCTTTATTGTAATAACTCCATGAAAATCAGTCTAAACATCACACATTTAGGATATTCAAGCTAAATAAGGTGATGGCAAGGTAGTTTAGGTTGTTTGAAAAAACATTCTCCCAAAAAAGTGCAAAACAAAAAAACAAAAACAAAAAAAAATCCATGTAGGAAGGATGAATCAGAGGAGGAAGGTGGCAGGTGAAAGATAACACAGGGGTGGGGATGGATGGGATTGAGAGGGAGGTGTTAGTTGCATATAGATATTACTACATAACTGAGAGTGTCTGCCTCATGCTTAAGAAATGGAAGATAAAGCCTCCACTACTCTGCATTTTTTTTTTTTTTTTTTTTTAACATTGCCCTCTTCCACCAAGGCAGGGTGACCCAAAAAGGAAACACTCGCCATCATTCACACTTATTACTTGTTTTGCCAGAGGCGTGCAGATACGACAGTTTAGATGTCCCTCTAAACAGCAAATATCCTAAACCCCTCCTTTAGAGTGCATGCACCGTACTTCTCACCTCCTGGACTCGAGTCTGGCTAACCAGTTTTCCTGAATTCCTTCACAAAATATTACCCTGTTCACACTCCAACAGCTTGTCAAGTCCCAAGAACCATTTGTCTCCACTCAGTCCTATCTAACACACACACACACACACACACACAACACACACACACACACACACACACACACACACACACCAACACACACACACCACACACACACACACACACACACACACACACACACACACACACACACACACACACACACACACACACACACACACACACACACACACCTCCTGCCTGCCTGCACACCCACGCCTGCCTGCCTGCCTACTTGCCTGCTGTATGTCCAAGCCCCCTTGTGCACGAAACCTTCTTTACCCTACCTTCCATCCTATCCTAGGATGAGCCTTGCTTCATCCACCCTCCATGGGAGGGAGTGCAAAATAAACCCAGTGAGGAGTAGGGGTGCAGTGAGGACAATAAGGAACACACTCAACATTCGTGGCTGCAGACTATTCAACATCTTGCCAGAAGATATCAGAAACATGGCTCGAGCAAGTGTAGAAGCCTTCAAGAGGAGACTGGACAAGTACCTTCACCAGGTGCCAAATCAACCAGGCTGCGATGGATATGTGGGGCAGCGAGCCTTCAGCAGCAACAGCCTGGTTGACAGGGCAAGCACCCAACGAGTCTGGCTCATGGCTGGGCTCCAAAAGTAGTGAGACTCGAAATTAATCAAAGGTATACAAGGGTATACACTACAGATTTGCTCCATCTTCTCTGAATGACCAAACCCCCTCAGGAACCCCTCCTCAGCCTTCTGTATAATACTTCTGGTAACTCTGCACCTCCTAATCACTACACCACTACAAATTCTCTGCATAATATTTAAGCTACACATTGCCGACAGACACATCTCCATTGCCTTCAGCCTCCTCCTCCTTTGTGACATTCACAACCAATGCTTCACACACACAAGAGTAGTGGTACCACCAATATACTCTCACACATTTTCTTTGCTTCTATGTCTCCACATTTACCTTACTGCACCACCCACTTTTTTTCCTTCATCAATTCTATGGTTTACCTCTTCATGTACCCATCTGCTGACATGTCCACTCCCAAGTATCTGAACACATTTACTTCCGTACTCCCTCCTCTCCAATCTGATATCCAATTTTTCCTTACCTAACTCGTTTAATACCCTCATCACCTTACTCTTATCTATGTTTGCTTTTAACTTCCTTTAAACACCCTCCCAAACTTATCCACTAACTTTTGCAACCTCTCTTCAGAATCTCCCCAAAGCACAGTATCAACAAAAAGTAGCTGTTTCAACTCTTATTTTGTATTTGATTCCATATATTTTAATCCCACCCCTTCCCAGTACCATAGTGCAGGTTGACCATCACTAATCTGGCATCATCGGGACCTGTAAGGTGCTGGATTAGTGATTTTGCCTGATTACAGAGTAGGCAATTTCACCCACTTTAAGGCACAAATTTTGGCCCATTCCCCTGTTCTGGTCTACCAAACTCATAGCTGTTTTGCTAGTATACCTTCTATTCTGTCATTTGAGTACAAGAAACTGCCTATTTACCTATTTAACTACCCAATAAAGTAGCCAGAATTTGGTAATTTGGCCAATTTCAAGAGATGCCAATTTCAAAATAGGGTCCAGAATAAACAATGCAGACAATCCTGGCACGAAAATAACGTTTTTTCTGTTCATTAGTTACGTCTCCAGGCCTATTTTATATTACACTTGCTTGCCATTTTGAATTTTTATTCACAGAAAAAATAGAAGATTTTGCTGTTATGCAGACTACTGCATTATTGTAATAATTGTACAGATAATGTCAACCCATTCATGACTGGGTATTAGACCAGCCAGTTGAACTTGTATTGGACGGTGACGTCACATCTTTACTCTTGAACATTGGCAAAAATCGAACATTTCCACTAATTTTAGCTCATTTTCAAGGTATACTTTCCATTGTGAAACCAATCAAAATCATAGCTATTTCTGTAGTATATCTTTCATTCTATTAAATGAGACCATAAAAACGAGACTACAACCATAAAAACCATACAAAAATACTGCAAGTTTGCGGTTTTACACCAAAAACACATGGTTTAGTTTTTTCTCATTATGCACTGCGTGCTGCAGGATTTTTCTTATATATAGTGCACACTTACCCCACACACATTATCTCACATGTAGGCAAAAATTTACCTGTCACAGCTTATCTTAGTGAGCTAAGCTCATGGTGACCAACAGTAGCTTCAAAGCCACCTTATCTTTAATGGACAATGTACTATGTATGTGCTTTACACAACGAGAAGCCATTCTTTTCTTCGTTGGAACCAGGGCGATGGCTAAAAATGAGTAGGTTATAACAAATGGAGAAAAAGAAATTGGAATGACTTTTGCAGCAAGTAGCACAACCAGACAGTAGCAGCAAGTTGGTGTGGTGATCCCAGAAATTTGAAATTATGCTAGCCGAAATTAGTGCCGGATTACTGATTGCTGGATTAGTGATGACCGACCTGTACTTGTTTATTTTACAACCTTGCCCATAAATGTTAAACAACTATGCAGACATTGTGCATACCTGTCTGAGGCTTACTTTTACTAGAAAATAATCTCCCCCTTCTTCTACACACCCTAACCTGAGCCTTTTTTTTTTTTTTTTTTTTTTTTTACATGTCTGCCCTTTCTCACCGAGGCAGGGTGACCCAAAAAGAAAGAAAAAAAACCCAAAGAGAGAAAAATTTTTTGTCTTCATTAAACACTTTCACCATCATTCATACATAATCACTGTCTTTGCAGAGGCACTCAGACATGGCAGTTTAGACATTGCTCCAAACTGCCAATATCTTAATCTCCTCTTTTAAAGTGCAGGCATTGTGCTTCACATTTTCAGGACTCGAGTCCGGCTAACCGGTGTCCCTGAATCTCTTCACAAAATATTGCCCTGTTCACACTCCAACAGCTTGTCGAGTCCCAAAAACCATTTGTCTCCATTCACTCCTATCTAACATGCTCACTCACGCTTGCTGGAAGTCCAAGCCCCTAGCCCACAAAACCACCTTTACCCCCTCCCTCCAACCTTTTCGGGTACGACCCTTACCCTGCCTTCCTTACCCAATAGATTTATATGCTCTCTAGTCATTCTTCTTTGTTCCATTCTCTCTAAATAACCAATATACACTGGCAACTTCTTCCACATTGGTCTTTGTATCCCCTACCCATTCTAAAGCCTCTTTATTCATCTGTGATCCTGCTCTCCATCTTGCCCCTTATTCCTTTCAATAATAACCCTACCATACACTTTACCTGGTAGGTATAGTAATTTTCTATAAGGGAAGAAGGGAATACTTATAGATTGTATGTGAGAATAAGCAAGTATTCCTGATAGTGTATTCTAGAATTGTTATTTAAAGTTTAAGTAATTTAAGAAAGTAGGAGTTCAGGGGAAGATAGTGAATTTAGGAAAGAAAAGGGAATGTGATTGTCAAGTGTACGTAGTATACAAGTGAACAGCACTTAGGTAAAGAGCTGTTTGCTGCTTTGAGTTTGGAAGTGACATATTGTACAGTGGATAAGAAAGTGATGTGGTTGGTGTTGTAAGTTATGGAATAGGTGACAGGGTGTTATTTTGAGATAAGAGTATAAAGGCATTTAATATATTTAGATACTTGGGAGTGGATGTATTGGCAAATGAGTTTGTGAATGACAAGGTAAATCATAAATTAGATGATGGAAAGCTTGTGCTGCTGTTATGTTGAGTACATGGAAAGAATTAACTAAAAAAAAAGCAGCGCCAACAATTATTTAAGGGTGTTGGGACAAGGCCTATGAATGTTTAACCCAATCACTATTGTTGACAATCCCAAACAATTGTAAAATGGTGGATTTTTTTTTTTTTTTTAAGGTAATGACACCAAAGATGCAAAATTTGATGTAATGTGTGTGAAATTATGCAAGTGCAAAGTTGGAGGTCAGGGAGCACTATGCAACAGCATTTTGCCCATGATGCTTATTTTAGGACAATTCCAGTGCTTAAATAGACCAATTCCTAGCTATTTCATAAGTATGCATTTTATACTATCTATTGATTGTAAACAGTTGCCCATTTAACTATCAAAACTAA